GTGTGTTGCTGGAAACTTAATTTAGGAGCTGGGGTGTGGGAGGTTAAGAACTTGTGCTTTTAAAGTCAAAAGCACTCGGGTTAGGCATGAATCCATGCTGTAGCCAGGCAGATCTTGAATTCATTATCCTCCTCTATGGAGTAGCTGAAAAAGGAGTCAGGTGTTGGTGGCACACGCCTTTAATCCCAGCACTAGGGAGGCAGAGGCAGGCGGATCTCTGTAAATTCAAAGTCAGCCTGGTCTACAGAGTGAGTTTCAAGACAGCCAGGTCTGTTACACAGAGAAACCCTGTCTCAAACAAACCAAAGGGGGGAAAAAAATAAAAAAAGGTAAAATTCTGTAATCTTAATGCATCTTCAGCCCAAGAAACCAAACTCTAATTGCAGCCACTTGTAAGTGGTAGGATTGTGGGTAGTTTCAATTATGGAATTCCAATTTTCTATAATAAGGAATTAAAAGACATTTATAGCCTTCAAAATATATGGAACAAAAAAGTTAAAATTATAAAACATTTTAATATTTTATATCTGAGGATAGGCTTATGTCCTAATTAGGTTTATGCACATTGTACACACATAGTGCAGTTACATACATGTAGTCAAATACTCACACATAAAATTTTTAAAAATATATTAGAAATTTAAAAAAAAATAGATGAAGTAGACTTCATTAAAATTGAGATTTCCAGCTGGAGATGTAGCTCAGTAGTAGTAAAGTGATTGCCAACCATGTGTGAAAGCCTGAGTTGTGTCCACAGAAACACACATAAACACACACATACAAAGGAACACTACAAACCTATGAAAAAGGCAATTTAGTGCTGTGATTCTCAACCTTCCTAAGGCCACATGTGACCCTTTAATAAAGTTCCTCACATTGTGGTAATCCCCCCCCCCATAAAATTATTTTCATTGCTACTTCACAACTGTAATTTTGCTACTGTTATGAATCATATTGAAAATATCTGTTTTCTGATGGTCTTAGGTGATCCCTGTGAAATGGTCATTCAACCCCAGCCAGGGGTCATGGCCCACAGGTTGAGAACCTAGATTTGAGGATCTAGCAATTCCTCAAATGATTTTAAAGAGTTGTCAAATGGTCTAGCGATTCTACATTCTACCAAGATGAATGAAATTAGGAATTTAGGCCAATGCTGCCAGCAGTCTTATCCACACTAGCTCCAAAGTGAAAACAACCAAAATATCCACCAATGGTGGTGTGTATGAGTTGTGATATTGCCATATAACTATCTTTTTTTTTTATGAGATAATATAGCCCTGGCTGTTCTGGAACTCACTATCTCGACCAGATTGGCCTTGTACTCAGAGATCACTGCCTCTGCCTCTTCCTCCTGAGCAATGAGATTAAAGGCGTGTGCCACTACACTGGGTCAAGAATCTTATTTAAGTAGAAGTAGGAAATGCATACTGACACACACTACAATACTGGTAAGCCTGAGGAACACGACACTTGGTGAAAGAAGCAAACACAACCCCTCTTGAGCTGGTTCTCGTCAACTTGACATAAGCTCAAGTCATCTGGGAAGCAGGAATTTCAATTAAGAAATTGCTTCCACCAGATTGGCTTGTGTGCACATCCGCAGGGCATTTTTCTGATTAATGATTGATGTGGGAGGGCCCAGCTCACTGTGGGCGGTGCTGCCCCTGAGCAGGTTTTCCTTGGGGTATATAAGATAGCAAGGTGAGCAAGCCACTGGAGACAAGCCAGCAAGTAGCACGCCCCTCCTCCTTGGTTCCTCACTCTACTTCCCTTACTGTCCCAGGTTGCTTTTGAGATCATGATGTTTATCCCAGCAACAGAAACATAAGTGGAACACTGTATCTTGTGCTCTCCAACCATCCAAAATAGGCAATTCTAGAGAAGAAGGCAGATGGGCTCAGGAGCTTGGAGAAGGAAAAAAATGGAAGGTATGAATGGGTGTGGGGGGTGGGAAGTCTTTAGATCAGTCGTTCTCAACTGTGGGTTTTGACCCCATAGATCAGATCTCAGATAATTACAATGCATGACAGTGGCAAAACTGTATATATGAAGTAGCAATGAAGTAATCTTATGGTTGGGGGGGTCACCACACGAGGTATTAAAAGGTGGCAGCATTAGGAAGGTTGAGAACTGCTACTTTAAAGAGACTGTGGGAAGGACAAGAGAATGTTCTGCAGTTGCAGTTACAGTGAAGTTACACCTCCTGTAAATGTGCTGGAAACCAACATATTGTACATTTTCAAATGGTAAATTTTATTTCAATTTTTTTGAGACAGGGTTACTCTGTAGTTTTGGATTATTGTTTTTATGTTTTTGGTTTTTCGAGACAGCGTTTCTTTGTGCAGCCTTAGCTGTTTGTGGCTGCCCTAGAACTAACTCTGTAGACCAGGCTGGCTTTGAACTCAGAGGGATCAGCCTTCTTCTGCCTCCCAAGTACGCTCCACCACCCAGTGGATCAAAAAAAATCTTTTTAAGAAAAAAAGAGTAACAAAATGCAAAACACTAACCAGAGAAGAAACCCAGTAAGCTTGATGCTAGATTGCTTTCGAAGCCTGACTGGTTCTATGGTAAAATCAACTAAATTTCCACAGCTCTGCCTTTTAGGGTAGCTCTCCAATGGGTTAGTCCCCTCATTGTGCCTACTGAAATCAATTAATAGAGTTCTTGGTGTCTGCCCTAATCATCATGCAGGCAGAGAAAATTTAGTTAATATCTTTTTCTCCCTCCCCAACACTGAAAAATAAGATAAATAGACTTGATATCCATAATTTCACTTAGTCATTTAGTTCAGTAGCATCTGTTTATCATGATTTACAAAAATTTGGCTGGCAATGAGAGTAGCTGGAAGCATTTGCATAAAGGAATTTTATTTACATATTTTCCTCCTTAAGCATCAGTCTCAAAATGGTCAAGTCCTGGAAGGAAGCTCAGGCAAGCTTCAGTGGTGGTTTCTACTTCCCACAGCCACAATGACGGTCAAAGAAGCAACAGAACATTTACAGCTACTCAAATGGGAAGAAAAACTTGAGGACCGTCAATTAAAATATGAGTGACCAAGCAAAAACAAGAGAAAGCAGAAATATGGATACCTGTCATTGTAAATTGTCTCCAAAGCAAGTGGGGAAAGGGAACTTGGCTTGTTTATTATGAACTCACAACAGTCTTCTAGGTGGCCCAGGAAAGCATTTTCCACATTGTAATTCTTCCGAACTATCTGTTTAATTCCATGTTTCTACACTACTTAAGTATTACTTCAGGATTCTTTCTATAGTATTAAGTGTGTGTGTGTGTGGTGTGGTGTGTGTGAATGTTTGCCACAACACAACTATGGAGGTTCAGAGGAAAACTTGGAGTCTTTTCACCGTGTGGGTTCTGGGGCTCAAATTCAGGTTGTCAGCTTTGGTGGCAAGCACTTTTGCCTTGTAAGCAAAACTAAAAATTCTTAATGTGTATCCATGAGAACAACTAGACGTTATGTGACTAGCTATGTGATTATTGCTTATCCCAAAGTTTAAGAATGCCTGCAGCAAGACTGGGAAGCTGGACACCCAAAACTCACCCTTGGATATGAAAACTCAATTGGGAATTCCAGTTGACTGCCTCAACTTCTCCATAAGTTTCTGCTACAGGCCCTCAATTTGACACCCAGTATTGCAAACCCCAAAATTTCCAAGGACACTGAGTAAAAGTATGAGTGGCTTTGCTTATGTTCCTTATTCGTTCTCTTCAATGTCTTTATGGATAAAATGGTACTATATGGATAGTATATAGATAAAGCCTATCTCTGAAACCTGTCAACTTCTCTGTGCTTCTTACCCATCTTCCCTACTGTCCCCCTATTACTTTGACTAGTACCTGGCACCTTTGGCTTCCTCTTCCCCAGACATGCTGCTAAAGCTGCTAAAGCTTCCAGTTTCTGACATTTATGTAGATAATCCACCACCCTGAGTTCCCTGCCCACATTCTCCTAAGCCTTTACCCCTGGTCCTAAGGAGCCTCCACCTCCTCCCAGCATTTTCTCAGCTAGGTTTGACTGGGCACCCAGCCTTCCTCAAATTTGCAATCCTCCTGCTTCAGTCCCTTGTGAACTGGGATTCCATGTACCACCAAGCCTGGCTCTCAAGTTTTTGTCTTTTGTATGATCTGGTTCTCAAAGTCTTGAAACCTCAAGGCATGGAACACATTTAGTAAGTATTTGAAAAGTGGCCAAGTATTGTGAATGATAAAGGAACACACACACACACACACACAAAACTTCCCAAGCACATGCTGTGTTCTGTCAGTCAATGCGGCTATTGTAGTCTGATTGCGGCTAAGATCATATCATCAAATGGGATCCTGTTCAAAAGAACTGGCTGTGGGCCTCAGAAACTTAATCCAAAAGAGAAAGTTTCAGAAGAGGAAGAAATGCCCTTTCAAAACTCTAGGGCAGAAAGGGATTACGATGGTAATATTGATTTTAAGCAAAAAATAAACACAAGTTAGAACAAAATGTTTTATTATTAAAATAAAAACCTTTGTATAAAAGCATTACAGAGCAAAAGCTGTATTTACACTAATGAGCATCAGAGAGTGGGGCACAGCCACAGGTTCCACTTACCAAATGACCTGACTAAAGGAAAAGGGAGGGAAGGTAACTCATAACATCCGCCCATAAACTGGCAGAGGTAACTCGTTAACAAGTGGTTTAAATCTACCCATCTCTAAATGGTCACTGCTCATTGTTACAAAATTGTTCAGAACCTAAACAGAAACCCTGGACACGACCCCAAGGGCATCCTCTTCAGGAAACTGCCAGGAACCAAAGTGAAGTTATTTAAGTCAAGTTTCTGATGCATAACATCAAGATTTCAAATTGGCCCACTGCAGATTCCCGGCATCTCAATGTCCAGGCATGCCTTTTCTACTTAAGTAATTATGGTACCATGTTGTCACAAACCTTTGGGTGACTGTGTAAGCAGGACGAACCACTCTAACTTAAGGACAGCAGCAACCAGGTCTCAACTGTGACAAGGTATACACCGAGCATGATACAAAGGAGTTTTAGTCTCCAAAAACTCATTCACTGTGCTATACTCCACTTCCCAACAATGACTAATTTTTCCACACCGTTTTCAGAACTTTGTTTGTGACCTAGCCTTACCCATTTCAAACATCAGCCAACACACTGAACACTAACTGCATGCATTGATTCTGTGTGAACAAGCTAAAGGGCTGTTCTCTGCAATTCATTAGAACCGTTGGTTCACAACCTAAGTGCTTGGTTTATGGGTATATCCTGAGACTGTTTCAACACCAATAAGACAAATATGCTTTCTAAAACTGCCGCTTAAAAAGAACTCAAAAAGTGGTGGCAAAGGACCGTGGGATTGGGAGGCTACAAGGTAGGGCCAGGGCAAGCTTTGGGAAACTACATGTAGCTCAAGTGTAACTAATAGTATGCCTTCCGTGATGTATCAGAAACAAGTGTGAATCTAACAAGATTAACCTGACCGAGTTCTAAGACAGACTGCTCACCAAGATTCTTACTCAGCTCCCCATCAAGAACATTATCAAGAACAAAAGGGCCTTGAGAAGCCGAAAGGCAGGCGGAGAATCTTCAGGCTTGCATTTCAAATTCCTGCTTCAGACTGTGAAAAACAAAGGGGGAAGATGTCAAGATGGTTTTCAACCAATAATTCTCTTTGGAAAACCAAATTCATGTCTCAGGAAAAAAAAAAAGTTTTTTATGGATCCCTAACAAACGTATTGTATTGTCAATGCATGTGTCTTAGACATCCAACCTGAATGTTATATCCATGACTGGCTCAACCGAAGATGTATTTCCACTAACATTCCCCTGCCCCAAGAGAGCCACTTTTCAGACTTCTATCATCTTATATATATAAGGCACATAAACGAAAGTAAGACTCAGACATCAAAGAGAAAACTGCAATGGCCATTACCTTTTCAAGTAAGCATGCACATTCCCAAAGCCATGATACTTGGCTAAATACACCAGGACTCCCGTGGCGCACCGTCCATCACGCTGGCGGCAGAAGCTACAGTTGCAGATTCCTCGACAGGGTGGGCAGTGCCAGTTCTAAAGAATTGTGGGAAAGCACCCTGAAGCTAAGCATCACATCCCCTCCATCCATCAGTTCTCTTTCTTTAGCCATTAAAGTACTTAGTATCAACTCATTTACTCTCTGATTTTTTTGTTTGTTTTCGAGATAGGGTTTCTCTGTGTAGCTTTGGAGCCTGTCATGGAACTTGCTCTGTAGACCAAGCTGGCCTGGAACTCACAGAGATCCGCCTGCCTCTGCCTCCCAAGGCCTGTGCCACTACCGCCTTGCTACCCTGTTGATGGGGGAGGTCCTTCTGTGTATATGATTGCCTTATTAGTTGATAAATAAAGTACTGTTGGCCAATAGGAAAACAAGATAGATGGGACCAGGAGTCAAGGAGGATTCTGGGAAAGGGAAGAGAAAGTGCAGAGTCACCATGTGAGCCCGGGAAGACAGAACACTTACCGCTGGTGTCCGATAAGTTTTATAAAATATATAGATTTATGATAATAAAGAATGAGTTAGCAGGTGAGAAATCCTAGTCTTTGGCCAAGCAACATTTGTATAAGTCTCTGTGTGTTACTTGGGACCTTAACGTGGTGGCGGGTGGAACTTGGGCAGCCTGGCAGAAAGACATATTGTTACACCCTGTAATAAATATATATATATATATATACATATATATATATATATATATATATATTAAATAACTAAATCATAAAACAGGGGTCTGAGTTTCTGGCTCAGTGTGAGAGCTTTTGCCTAGCATATGTAAGGCCCTGGTAACACACTCACCCACCCACACTCATAAGACAATTCAAGAAAGTTATGCAACCACCACCAGGCATGAAGAAAATCAACTTCTGAGCAGCGGCCCAAGCTGTCTGGACAGTTATGCCCATGCAGCGAGCACCACACCATAACCATAGACTCCTGCTACTAAGCGCTCAAGCCCCTCCCCAACCTTTGAAGGCCCCTACCGGGTCCAGCAGAGCATCCTTGACCTCTTCACCATAGCGGTTTCTAAGGCAGGGACCACAGAACTGGCCCCGGATGCCCCAGCAGCCTGGGTTCCTGCAGTTTGTTTTGGTATCAATGGTTTTCTGGCGACACTGGTGACAAGTGGAACCCTGAAAAAAGGACCAGATGAGAGAAGCAAATGCTGCTTTTTGTAGAGAAAAAACAAACAAAAAAGGCACAAAGAACATCCACACTGGTAAAAAGGGACCTGAGACTTGATCTATGAAGTTCACTTAGCACCTACATATACAATGAAAAGTAACTCAATCGACGCTTCCTACTCTATTGGCGATATAATGGTGTTATCATCAAAACTACTTGGTGGGGTGTTCAAGGACAGAGTACAAGGCTAACCCACTTGAGTTCCTGGGTTTGATCCCCAGAATTGGAAAAAGAAAATTCCACCCAAATCCATTTTTTCCTTCTCCCAAATCCATTTCTTAAAAAAAAAAAAAAAAAAAAAAAAAAAACTTTGGCTCACCACTGCATTTCCCTGCATTTCCAGTAGCTGTCGATATATACACCCTAACAAACAACACGCAGTGAACTCCAGCTGAATTCATCAACTTCTAAACTAAGACATAACCCTACTGCAGACTTCACAGGCACACTAATTCAATCCCAGGCATACTATAAAACTCTTCTTCCCGTTTATGAAAAAACAAAACAAAACTACACAGGCATGAATGTACAGACCATACACCATGTGCAGCCCCTTAGGGCATGCTGTCTGTCCTCCGGAGGGTGCTGCCTGTTTCCAGACAAACATCACCTTGGGGCACTCACCAGTGATCGGTTGTAGATCTTCTCTCGAGAGTTGCTGCAAATGTTCTTGATCTCTTCTTCTGTAACTTCTTCTACTGGGCGAATTATATGTGGAAGGGTCATGGATCCAGGGCGACGACTTCTGGGCATGTCATCGTCCTGAATAAGAAGCATGAAGCTGAAATCCCCTGTGCAGCCCTAAATCTCAAGATGCTTCCTTTGAAACCTTTCACAGAAAACTCAATCTTGAAAAGCTTTCTTGCTTATGGAGACAGGCGGCAGCCCATAAATTTACTGTAAGGATAACTGTCCAAAAGCATAGAAATACTTCCTACAATATTGATAAGTTGAAAAATCCGACTCTTGTCTGCTAACAAAATTAAGTCTGCTCATGCAGCATTAATGACTCGGAATGGTTTGATTGAGGCTGTGTGTTCAAAGCTAAGCTTCCTGAAGATGGGAGACATAAGAGGAGACACCAGTGAGGACTCACATTCATGTAGCCGTCCACAGACTTCCTCCTTCTCACTAGCATGTACTTATCCTCTTCCTCTTCTTCCTCTTCCTCCTCTGTGGGCAGAGCACCCAAAGACCCCAGGATCCGGGACCTTGATCTGGTAATCGGTCGGGCTCTTCGTTCCGGGTTCCTTCTGGAAGCGACACCTGGGAATGTGCGTCTTCTAGGTGGCTTTGACTGGTGAACGAAACACAAGATATAGATCCACTTGCTCTATTACAGAGAGAAGAAGCACTCTAGAGAACCTGTGACCTTCCCTTAAGGAGTTCTAGGTAAAAAAGAGCTCCATTTTCGTATTTTCTTTGCACTTTTCATGATGTGCAAACAACAAACCCCAAAGCCATACAGCCACTGCAATTTTTACTTATTCTTCTATCTAATTCTTCTGCCATTTACTCTTCTATTTCAGTTACTAAATATGTAAAACCTGAGATCCTGACCCAAAAGCCTTTCCTATGACATCTCTAGACTCCTGGAACATACATGCTATCTCCATATTATACATATTATACAAAGAATGCTTGGGGTTCTTCCCTGCATTCCTTGCTGGCTTCCAGCCTGACTCCCCATGGGGAAGCAGGGAAATGCAGGCTTTTCTTTTCTGCCATAGCCAACACAACATATTTTATCCACCTCCTTCACACCAGCTTAGTCCCTTGGGACACAATCAAATACCATTATTAGGATATGACTTGACAAAGAAACTGTGTACTTTCTTTTCCCTCAATCTGTTTAAAAAAAAAAATACCTATTTTGCATCTAGCATGTATAAAAAAAACATGCTGCTTGGGGACATAGAAACGAGCTGTCAATCTTCCTTGATGCTAGTGTGAAGAAGAGAAATGATCAAAAGGAGCTCGGCAACAGGGTGGTAGAGCCAAAGTGTCACCAGAGCCTTAAGAAGGCTATTTCTAGCGACCCTGTCCCCCAATAGAAAAATAAGATCCTAAATAAAGATCTGCCCTGGGCTTGTCCAAAACAAGTTTAGAAAGAAGCACTTACATCTTTGGATCTGTGGCCGGGGAGGGAATGTCTTCCAGAGAATAAGCCAGGGAAGCTTTCTAATTCTGACATGAGTTTTGCAAGCTAAAGAGGGGAAGAAAGTAAACAAAAATTATAACTGGTGACAACAGGCAATTTGCGGAAATATCACTATCCCTCAACTTTCTGTTTAGTAAGTTGACACAGTCAAGCTTCGGAATTCCCCCCTATGCTTACTTATCCCAGCTCTCAAAAGAGTTTAATAAGAAGCTGGAGGGGCTGGAGAGAAGGCTTAAGCAGTTAAAAGCATTTGTTGCTCTTGCAGAAGACTTGGGTTCAGTTCCCAGCACCAGCATGGTAGCTTACAACCATATCTAACTCCAGTTCCAGGGGATACAAATGCCCTCTTCCTGCCTCCAAGGATAATGCACTTACAGTACAGCCCCCTCCTCCACATAAATGAAAACAAATATAAATATTCAAAACATATCATGAAGTCTTCACAACTACATGGAAACAGTTCTTAAGAGAGAGGTAGAAGAAATGAGTTGCTCAGAGAAAAGCTGGGAAGGGTTGCGATGCATCCAGACACCCACCATTGCTTTGTTTTGCTTTACATTTAAAGCCCTTTTCTCCATAAAGTTCATGCCATCTTCTTCTTCTTCAGAGTCAGAATGGGAATCATTTGCAGAGTTCTCAGAGGGTTTAGAGGGGACTGCTTTTTTGTTGGCTGGGCCCCGGGTGTTTCGTGCTGGAAACTTCATGGCTACCCTGAGTGGTCCGGAGTGACGGCACTGACTTCGGGTCCTGCAGCCTTCCCTGTCCAACTGCAGTCTCTACAGTTAAACAGAGCAAGGGAGCTGTTAACGACCTGCTGATTGGCAGACAAGCAGCAACAATGACTACCACAAAATCCTTTTGGAATAAAGGACAAGAGCAAATCAGCCATAGGTGGACAGCAAGGATCATGGGTAATAAAAATCAAGACTTGAAGATGAATACAATGGGAGAACAGCCTCACTTGGCTGCTTGTCTGAGCCACTGAGCCACTTTCACTATGCTTCTGAATCATTTTTTAAAACATGGAAATTCCTGCCTGCCCTCCCATTTCCTTAAAAATAAGGGCTGCACAGTAAGTTCTAGGCTAGCTTGAGTTACACTGCCAGACCCTGCCTCAAAAACAAACAAGCAAAAACTATTAATTCCTCCTACCACCAGTCCCTGGCAACCACCATCATTCTAGTCTTTGAATTTGACTAGTTTAGGTACCACTCTAACTTTTTCTAAGTCAAGATCTAGATGAGATATCACGGCTGGGCAGAGGTGGTGCACACATTTAATCCCAGCATTCAGGAAGCAGAGACCAGGCTCGTTTACTAGAGTGAGTACCAGGACAGGCTTCAAAGCTACAGAAAAACCCTGTCTCAAAAAAAAAAAAACAAAAAAAAAAAAACCTAAAATTAGGTATCACTTCATACCAACTTGTATAGCTAAATCTGTCAACTTGTATAGCTTGCTCAAAAGTTATACAGTCTCTAGATATCCCAGCCATCTACTCCTAGATATAGATCCAAGAACACATATCTACATAAAAGCTTTGGACATGAACGTTCACGACAGCATTACCCCCCCCCTTTTTTCATGTGTGCACATGTGTGAGTACGCGTGTGTAGGCCTGAGTTTAATATCAGGAACCATCCTTGACCTTTCTAATTGAGACAGGTTCTCTCAATCAAACCTAGAGCTCACTGATGTACCATATCTTGCTAGCCAGCTTGCTCTAGGGATCCTATCTCTGCCTTCTGAGAAGCTGGAATTACAGATAAGCCACAATACCCACTAAGCATTTATGTAGGTTTCTGGAGACCAAACTCCAGTCTTTATACTTGCAAGGCAAGCTGAACCATCTCCCCAGCCCCTCAAAAAAGTGAACAGAATGAGGATGTGGTTCAGTGGTAGAGTTTATGTTTAGTACATCTAAGACCCTGGGTTTGATTCCCAGTACCAACAAATAAGGATCCCCATGAGCAGCTTTTAGTAGTCTATGGATAGATCGAGATAACAAAACTTCCATGAATTTTTGGCACTTTTCAATCAACTGGCATTTTATTCATCACAAGGTAATACCTACAAAGAGGTATTGAAGACAATGGGTCACATCCAGATCTGCAGACTGTCCCCAGCTAACAAATGCCCATCAACACCATTTGGGACCAAAGTCTTTTTATTAGGGGAAGAAAGCATGCATGGGTACAGATGGTGATAAAATAGTTCTGGGGCGAGTGCTGTCAGTGTCATTCAAGTGATAGCCTATAGGGAACGTTGTCAGGCATGGTGAAGAAAATAACATGCAGGTGACTGTAATGTATATGCACCCCACTTCCTTAGGAGAGTCTAAGCACGTAGTGTTCAGGGAGTAGAGCACAGGCATGCAGGTGGCATCCTCGAAGTGACAGCTGAGTGAGGAGGGAAGCATAGGCAGGCAGGCAAAGCAGACCAGAGAGCAAGCGAACACAGAGACAGGAAAGGCCCTACTTATTATCTTCGTGGTCCTAAGAGGTTCCCAAGATGCAGGTACAACTAGAACAGCTCTGTCAACTCCATGCCAGCACTGGGCTGGGCACCTGCACATAAGTGCCAATATAGCTAATCTTTAGGACATCTGTGATTAGGCCAGATCTGCAGCTAACAGCAATCTGAAGGTTAGCCAATTTTATTTAACAAATTTCCAAGATTTAAAAAAACAAAAACAAAAAATGTAATAATACCTACAAGCAGGATACTAGCAAAAAATGGCTTTAAGACATGAAGAAAACATTCATGATCTGGTCAATAGTTTCCTAGCTGGACTAAAAGGAGAGCTATGGGTATGAGGGGAGGAGGAGGTCACAGAGCAGATCTCTCCAGACTCTAAATGTACCTCACTTCTTGATACTGGTGAACTTCTCCAACTCACCATTCCATCTTGTATCTCACTCTCTGAAAAACCGCAAAACGATTCATCATCAGAGTCGGCATGAAAAATGCTGGCCAATTCGTTAGTGACATCTGGCCTTGGTTTCTGTAAAAATCCACAATGGCTTAATACATCTTGTACCTCACCCTTTGGAAAGCCGAAGAAAGATTCATTATCTGAGTCCTCATAAAAAAAACATTAGCCAGTTCTTCACTGATATCTGACCTGAATTTAGGTTTCTGTAAGATAAATAAATGTGGTTGTGGATTTTTTTTTCTTTTTCAAGAACCAATTTTCCATAAACTGTGCAGAGAGCAAATCACATTTACAAGTGCACTACAAGAGTCTGGCTTTTGTTACAAAGAAAAATGGTCCAGAGGTTTACAAATGATTTCTGAGTTGTTACAGCAAGTCATCAGTAGTGTTAGGTTCGGCGACATTTCAAAAGGACACAATAAGCAGCTAATCTACCTCCAACAATTACTACCTAGAACCACAGCAAAGAGCAAAATGAAATTACAGTGCATGCCATATTTTCCTAACAGCTGTATAGAAATGCAGGCAAAAAGCAAGCGGTTTTAATCGTGCACAAAGCATTTTGGGGCATTTGGAGCATTGCAGACTCGATTCTGTTTATTCTCAGGCAGCACTTACTGTGTTTGCAAAATTATCAGAAGCAAAGCTGTCACAACTGTCATCAGAGGATGACGATGTTTCCATGGAAATCAACTTCATATATCTGACATTCTTTAAGTTCTTTACTTTGAGAGCCTTTTGCTGAAAAGAGAAATGGCAAAACCATTAAGTGGGATGCTTCATGCAGCACAGGACTACTAAAAACATCATTTCTCAGCCTCGTAGGTTTAAACAGCAGAAGAGATGAACACACTTTTTTTTTTAGGCCCTACAGAGAAAATGAGATTGGCAATTGTTACCAAAAAATTTTTTTTCTTCAACTTAGGTCAAATTCTCAGAAAGGATCTCTTCTGGAGAACATTTCAATGATATTTATCAATTTATCCAAACATCTGCAGTTACTTCTCTTCCCACCATACAGTCCTAAGCATTCAGCATTATATTGAACTCCAGATTTTAATGCCAGCTCCTAAAATCCAACCTCATTTTTTCTAATTGAACTGTACTTCTAAAAGGAGATTTCAAAAGTGCAAGATGGCAGAGCAATTTTTCTCCCTCAGCCAAAAATCAAGCTAATGAGGTCTTTTTATGTAAGCTTTGGGCTCTGCAGTGTGATGCTAATTTCCCAAACTACAAAAATTGGGCAGGTCCTGTGCTTTAAGATGGCAGTCATCCAAATAGGCCCTGTTCCAGTGAGGAGGGGGTACAGAGGTTCTGCACAAGTCCTTACAAAAGTATTATCAGCCCATAAACACATTATACAAGTTGAAGGGCCAAGTAGAACACCTGATTCCATCTGAGCTCTCTATGAACATGGTCCCCATGGAGCTTTCTCATGGCTCCTTAAGACTTGAAATTTTTACAAGTAGAGCTCAGTGGTAAACATTTGCCAGCAAGCAAAGTCCTCGGGTGAATCTCCAGTCCCAGGGTGTGTATGTGTGTGAAAAAGCCTGGATATATGAAAACGCTCCATTCATTCCCATTTATAGCCCTGTACTGTTCACTAGAAAAATGCAACTTAACTAGTACAGCCATTTTTTGCCATTTCTTAGGACACAATATTTCTGAAGGATTGCATTAGTTCTTATAGTCTTAGAGTCAAAGAATAGCAGTTTGTTTTTTTCACTGAAAACCTGAAAGGGAAAGCTTTTACCAGCCCCACACAAGAGTGCCCAGATGTGTTAGGGGGACAGAGAATGTCTAGGTGGAGAGTTGGACTTCCTTCCTCACCAAACACTTGCATTTCAGTCTCAGATTCAATAAAATTATTTCCCAGATGATGGCTGCCCAATCTCCCCTCATTACATGTGTGTTGTTAGGAGTTGAAGGGATCCCAAAAGCCCAAGGCAACAAGGTGCAGCATAATGCAAAAACCAGAAGATCCCCTAAAACAGCACAGCTCCTTAATGACTTCGATTCTCCCCACTTTGCTAATCAATCTACCTCCATATAAGCCTCAAGGGAGGCATTCCACCGAAAACACGCTAAGCTGTAACAAGCCAGGACAGGCCAAGAGTCATTCACCAGCCAAATAGCTCCTTGGTGGAAAAGACACAGAAAAGCAGAGCAAATGGCCATGCCTGGAGTGAGCTTTCTTGGCAGACATAACTCTAATTCCATTTACGGCGAGTTTCTTGGCGGCAGACTTGCTAGCAATGTTTGTCTAATTCTTTGCAGAGAAGGTGACATCGTTACTATCACTTAAATGAGGAAAACTGAAGCTCGGAGAGGTGAAACCGACTCCTCCAGTCAGGTGACCAATGTGCACCTAGCTCAATTCCCCACGGGCGGAGATCCGTTATCAAACCACGACTCCGCCTACCCACCCAGACTTCCCCACAAGGGTCCCGAACCTCCGATATTTATTTCAAGCACGTCACTGTCTTCCTTTCCGCCCATCCCCCCACTCTTCAAAGCCTCTTCAGGGCAGGACCTAAGTTCTGGCTTCCGTTGGAGCAAAAAAGTAACGTTCCACTCGGGGCAGCTTGCAGCTGCAAGTGAGGTAAGGGGGTGGGGGGTAGGAGGGGACGCAGGGAAGCACACTAAACCGCCGTGGTGCACGGCTTGCATCGCTGGATTCCTAAACTGAGCTTAGTTACAGCCTGGGACTAAAACAATACCTCTTCCCACGTGCACAACCCAAGTTCTCAAGAGATGTTCCCAAGGCCTTCAACCCTAAACCCACAGATCCAGAGTGGCTGAAGGGGCCTCAGAGCAGAGGAAGCGGGTCCCAGGGCCACTACTTCACGCGTGGAAGTCACATACCCGCCGTGAGCGAGCAGTACTGGGCTAAGTCTCCGAGAATGGAAAGGCTGGGATTCTACCGCCGAACACCACCGCCAGAGGCCAGTCCCCGGCGCGCACGTGTAGCTCGAGCGCACGTACCACAGGCTCCCCGAGCGCTACCAACCCCGTGCGCACCGGCGGACGCATCACCTTGGCCCAGAGAGACCCTGAGTGCAAAAATTCTAAGAAAAACAATCTGTGACTTCCCCCAACCTGGCGACGATCAGCAGCGCCGTGGGACAAGAGAGCGGCGCTCACCCGCAGAGTCGGAGGGAAGTGGCCCCGGCCCGCCTGCCTCTACCACCCACCAACCCCCCCACGGCCCCCCCGGGCGCGCCTCCCCCGCCCCCGGAC